TGCTGTAACACTGCTGAACACTACACTGCCAGCCGCCACTCGACCCTAGCATGCTAGCTTGAATAAAGCCCGCCTGCTTTTGCATTATCTTTGTCTCTTGGTCTCCTTATTGGGTGGTGGTCTCGGACCCTAACACTATAAGAAGAGATCCCTGCCCAGAAAAGTAACAACAGCAGAGTCAGTGGCAAAGCGAGACAGAGCAGCAGGCTAACAGGCCCACTGACTGAGTAAAGTTGATGTCTTCCAGCAAGAGGCAGTCTTGCAGAAGGTGCCCTCAAGGCATTTACTGACTGTGCTACAGGAGGTTGGTAACACTTGCCTGAGCCGGGCAGAGTCTTGGCCTTGTGACTGAGAGACTGAAAACAAGAGGAACACATGCCTGCAATACAGCTGAGAAGAGACATTCCTGATGGAAAACAGCTGGATCCTGACTTGTTTCTGATCCTGAATTGTACCCTGCTCACGCTCCTAATAAACACTATAATTGTTAATATTGTCTGTGAGTTGTGTGTGACCACTGCATCAGGTTATTAAACCCAGCAGAGAAGTAGAGTGCCCTGGGAGGGCTGCACACAAAAGCAAACACAAACAAAAAGCCTCAAGACTTCAGACATTCTCTGAATTCCAGACATTACTCACCTTTCACTCCAAATTCCACGGCTCCAGCACTTTCTCAGAACTCTGTACGTATGAAATTGTGCTTAAAAAAAAAAAAAAAAGACAAACAATACACTACTATATCAATAGAGGACTTCTGGTGTGGTGCTGTGGGATAAGCCCAGGACTGCAAAGACAGTTTGAACTACAAGGTTGGTGGTTCAAACTCACCAGTCATTCCTCGAAAACCCTATACTGAGTGGCTATGAGTCAGAACCAACTCCCCGGCTTAACAACATCAATTGAAACCCTGAAAACCCACCTTAACCAAGTGAAGAGAGGTAACTTCGACAATAATGGGATACAGCCACATCCTGAGCTGTCCTTAGCACATTCTCTGCAATTTGCATAATGTGTAGAAAAAGTATCACACTCATTGGTAACTGTAAAATTATGTGAAACTTTTAGACTATGTACTCTTTAGATTGTGGTGTTTATGTGCCGTGGAGTTGGTTCCGAGGCTATAAATCTTTAGAGAAGCAGAAAGCCTCATCTTTCTACGGCGGAACCTCTGGTAGTTTCGAACTGCTGACCTATGAGGTTAGCAACCTGACTTGCAACCACTATGCTACCAGAGCTCCTTAGATTATGGGGCCATATTTCCTTTTTATACATCCTTTTGTTGTTTACCCAGTAGGTGGTGGTGGTGGTGGTGCGCCCTTGAGTTGGTTCCCACTCAGAGCAACCCTGTCTGTATAGGGTTTCCAAGGCTGCAAATCTTTATGGGAGCAGAAAGCCTCATCTTTCTCACGCAGAGCGACTGGTGGATTCGAACTGTTGATCTTGTAGTTAGCAGCCCAGTGTGTAATCCACTGTGTCCTTAGTTACCCAATGCTGTTGTTAAGTGCCTTTGAGTCAGTTCTGACCCACAGAGACTCTGTATAGGGTTTCTAAGGAGCTGAGCAGTTGGTGAACTTAAACCGCCGATTTTGTGGTTCAAACCAACCTTGCAATCAACAGTGCCACACCAGGACCCCAGTTACCCAATGTTGTTGTTGTTAAGTACCCTGGCGTCGGTTCTGACTCATAGTGACCCTGCACAGGGTTTCCGAGGCTGCAAATCTTTACAGGAGCAGAAAGCCTCATCTTTCTCCCGCGGAACAGCTGGTAGTTTCGAACTGCCGACCTTGAGGATAGCCGCCCGATTCGTAACCACTACGCTACCAGAGCCTAAAAAGTTTGAATGTAAATTTAATTTCTTTATATCAAATAGTTTGCGTACTAGATAAGCAGGTCATTTCAAACTAGTAACTGATGAATTACTTAGGAAAAAATCAATAATTTCCCTGATTTTCAGGGGGGGAAATCCACTAAAATACACTGTATTTGCCTAAATCCATACAGGTCTTTACACATAGTAGAATCAAAAGTCATTTGGTAGACTGACTGAATGCTATAATCCCAATTGGGGAATAAACACTGGAGATCTGAGCAAAGGAAGTTTCAACAGACCTACTTCTACTGCCATCATCTTAATAGAGTCAATGACCAGTTTAAAGGAAATATGAAGGATACTGAAACAGAATAAATGACCTCGCAATATATAACCAGTCAAATCCAATGTGGGAAATTCTACTAGTCAAAGGCCCAGTGTCTTCAACAAATAAAATAGCACTAAAAATTAGTGGAAACAATTTTATGTAAAAAGAGTCTTAAGAGCATGTCAACTACATGCAAGGACGAGTGGCTTTTGTTTAGAAGAGCATTTAAACAAACTAATAAGACAAGGAGCTCTGGTAGCATAGTGGTTATAAGTCAGGCTGCTAATCTCACGGACAGCAGTTTGAAACTACCAGCAGTTCCTTGGGAGAAAGATGAGGCTTTCTGCTCCCATAAAGATTTACAACCTCAGAAACCCTGTACAGGGTCGCTATGAGTTGGGGCCAATTCCATAGCACACCACCAATAAGACAAGGGATATTGAAGTTAGAGTGCACACTTAATGTTAAGCAATTATTGTTCATTTTTGTCAAGTGTGCTACAGTGTTGTGAATATGTTTTATTTAAAAAAAAGTCTGATCTGTTAAGAGAAAGATGACACACTACTTATGGGTCACATTATACATTGCCTGAGATTTGTTAAAAAAGACCCAAGTTTTTTTAAAAAACAGATTTGGTAGCTGTTGAAGTGATTGGGGTTCACTGAACTAATCTCTCTACATCTGTGTATGTTTGGAAATTTCCAACAACTATTGTTGTGAGGTGCCATCGAGTTGGTACCAACTCATAGTGACAATCTCGCAATCCTTACTTCCCTTGAGACCACTGCTGCAGTCACTGCATCAATCTATCTCCTTGGAGGTCTTCCTCTTTTCAACACTCTCCATTTAACCAAACATGATATCCATCTTCAGGAACTGACACATTCTGACAATATGTCCAAAGTATGAGAGATGAAGTCCAGCTGTCGTGGTTTCCAAGGAGTATTCTGGCTGTACTTCTTCCAAAACAGATTTCCTCATTCCGTTGGGTAACTTCTCTTTGGAATGGGCACAGATATGATCTTTTCCAGTCAGTTGTCCAGGTACTTGTCTTCCAAATTTTTTTGGCATAGATGAATACCTCTAGTGCCTCATCAGTTTGTTGAATATTTCAATTTGTATTCCATCAATATCTGGTGCGTTGGTCTTTGTTTTCCTTGTAGTGTATGGATATTAGCCTATCACAGACAATGTTGTACTTCAAGACAGATCTTGAAATGGTTTTTTTGTTTTTGTTTTTGTTTTTTTGATGATGGATGTAACACCATTCCTCTTCATATTGTCTTTCCTGACAAAGACAATTCAGACAAGGGCCTGGAATGAAGGATATCATTGCTGATGTCAGAAGGATCTTCACTGAAAACAGAGAATACCAGAAAGATGTTTACCTGTACTCTATTTATCTCCAGCATCATTTCTATCACTGTTCTTATTTTCCAAGTATTGATCCTTCCTCTGTTTCCAGCCTTTGCACTCCAATCACCAGAAATTATCAATACATCTTTATTGCATGTTTGATCAATTTCAGATGGAAGAAATTGATAGGATTCTTCAGTTTCATCATCACTGGTGTTAGTGGTTGATGTATACATTTGAATAGTGGTATTAACTGGTCTCCCTTATAAGTGTATAGATACTATCCTATCACAGGTAGCATTCTACTTCAACATAGATTTTGAAATGTTCTATCTGGGGATGACTGTGATGCCCTTCTCCTCCATTTGTCATTCCTGGTAGAGCAAGCCATATGATTATCAGAGTCAAAATGGCCAATACCAGTCCATTTCAGCTCACAAATGCCTAGAATATCAATGTTTATGCATTCCATTTCATTTTTGACAACCTCCAATTTTCCTAGATTCATACTTTTTTACATTCCATGTTCTAATTATTAATGTTTACAGCTGTTTCTCATTTTGAGTTGTGCCTCATCAGCAAAGGAAAGTTCATTCACATCACCACAGTCAATTCTACTTTGAGGAAGCAGCTCTTCCTCAATTACATTTTGAGTGTCTTATAACCTTAAGGGTTCATCTTCCAGCACTATATCTGACAATACTTTGGTGCTATTCATGTTTCAATATTCAATGTTACTGTACTGATAGTGTTCTATTGCTATTATTACAGTTTTCAGTGGCTAAACATTCAGAAGTAGTCTGCCTCTGCTTTTTCTAAGTCTGGAAACTCAGCTGCAATTTGTCCACCATGGGTTTATTGTTGTTAAGTGCTATCGAGTCAATTCCGACCCAGAGCGACCTGTATAGGTTTTCTGAGGAGCAGCTGGTGAGCTTGAACTGCCAACCTTGCAGTTCAAACAGCTTTGCAGTCTGGTGCATTAACCCACAGCGTCACACCAGGACTCCACCATGGGTTTACCCTGGTGGTATTTAAAATTACTGGTGGCGTAGCTTCCAGCATTACAGCAACATGCAAACCACCACAGAACAACAAACCGACAGACAGGTGATGGCCAACAGATTTCTACTCCTTTCAATATAGAGCCGTCTTTAGCAGAGCCTACACATCTGGCAACCATTATCTTCCTGTCTTCATTTCCTGCTACTCTCCCCCTTTCATTTGCTCCCACCACTGACCACTCTCCTTGCTCCTCAACCACATGGGGTGCTTCCTTCTCAGGACCTTTGAAGTGATCCTTGTCTCTGCCTTGACCTTTCCCTCAAATGTTTGTTGTACTGCTTTCTTCCTCATTTCCTTCAAGTTTTCAGTCAAATGGCAGCTGCTCAGTGAGACCATCCAACTCAGCATTTTGCATTCTCTTTGTTTCTCTCCAACGTCATGGGATTGGTTTTTACTCATAGAAACACCATACAGGGTTTCCAAAAATGGCTGGTGGGTTTGAATTGCCAACTATTGTTAGTAAGTGCCGTTGAGTCAGTTCCGACTCACAGCAACCCTGTGTAGGGTTTCTGAGGCTTTCAAATCTTTGTAGGAACAGAAAGCCTCATCTTTCTCCCACAGATGAGTTGGTAGGCTTGAAACGCCAACCTTGAAATTCAGTCCAGTACTTATCCTACCTATATACAAAGAAATTCACTTATTTTAATAAGTTCACTGTCTCTCTCATAGAATGAAAACTCTGACAGATTGTTCCCTAATTTTGTTTACTGCTTTATCACCAATACGTGGAACAGTCCATGGCACATAGAAAACACCTAATAAATACAGGTGCATGTTGAATCGAACTGAAATAATCTGATTAGGAGGAAATTATGGTGACTCCTAGAAATAAGCTAAGGAGCCTGGTAGTATAATGGATTATGAGCTGGGCTGCTAAAACTCCCAGTTAGTAGTTTGGATCTACCATTCACTCCATGGTGAAAAATGAGGCTTTCTGCTCCCATAAAGATTGACAGCCTTGCAAACCCTATACAGGGTTGCTATGAATTGGAACCAATTCCATAGCACACCATTGCTACCACCAAAAACAGAGAGTGGGCAATGAAGATGAGGACTAAATAAAATTCCCTATAGAAAATGGAGTCCTGGTGTGGCGTTGTGGGTTAATGCACTAGACTGCAGTCAGTTTGAACCACAAGGTTGGTGGTTAAAGCTCACCAGCTGCTCCTTAGAAACCCTGTAGAGGGTCAATACAGGTCAGAACCAACTTGATGGCACTTAACAACACAGAAATAAGGGCATCTTACTCATCTTTCAATAAGGAGCTCTGGTAGCATAGTGATTACAAATCAGGCTGCAAACCGCAAGATCAGCAGTTCGAAACTACCAGCTGTTCCGCAGGAGAAAGATGAGGTTTTCTGCTCCCATAAAGATTTACAGCCTCGGAAACCCTATACAGGGTCGCTATGAGTTAGAACAAACTCCACGGCACATAACAAAAATTCATCTTTCAGTTCTAAAACACTTGGGAGTTTAGGAAAGGACAAAAAAGAATCTCCCCATTTTATGGGCTGAGAAATTAGAGGACCTTGGGAAGCTTGTCCCAAGACAACTACTATGTTAGATAAGGTTTAAGCTTTCCAATATGTTAATTAAGCTTACCAGCTGTATTAAAATTCCAACTAACAGGTCTTTCAGATATCCTTTCTGGGTAAGTTGCACAACTTATCCTTCTATAGCAGTGGGATTCCATATACACTGAAACCCTACTAAACTTTAAAATAGTGACTAAGCCAGAGATCTCAACGCCACCCAATTTACCTGTATAATCTTATGCTTTCTTATTTCAGTTCCACTGGCTTTAGCTTGGAAGTAGATGACCACATGTAGCTAATCTGGGGTGGAAGAATGCTGGTAGGTAGGAAAAGATACACACTCCCAAACCAGAACCTCATATATGGGGCTTGATGAACATCACTGCTTCAAACACCTTCCAAAAGTTAACAGAGTAATAATTGTTATCATGACTAACTGTGATTGTCACAACTGTAAAGGTAGAAGTTTTGTAACATAAAGGGGTGAGTAGTAAATCTCACATTCCAGGAAGAGAAGAACCTAGGACCATCAGGAGAGAAGAGCACAAGCAGAACGTGGGATCCTTACCAGAGAAGCAGCGACACCAGAGAGGGAGGCAGAGATGATGGCATGGAGAGACAGATCAGATGAGGACTCTAGAGTCATGGAAAGAGTAAGGCTATGTGCTAGTGGACAGGAGGCTGGCTTGCAAAATGTGCCCTTTGGTTGTTTAAACGATGAAATATTCCTAAGTGTTTTTGTGTACATCAAAAAAAAAAGAGGGAATAGAGGCAAATACTGTTAACCAATGGTGCATGGAATGGAGTGTAATCATTGCAACGAAACAAAATACAATTGGGTGAGTGCAAAACTGATGTTCTCCCATGTAAATGATCACTCAATTCACAATAAAAGCTTAAAAAAAAAAAAGGACACAGAAAGGCTGAGCCTCCTAACCCCTTACTCTTGACAGTCCAAATAGGGTGAGGCACATCTTTTATTAAAAGAGTTTATAAACAGAACTTAAAAATAACAAGATCTACTTCTCAACCCCACCCATGGATGGAACGTGGGCTAAAGGCTGAGGACCCCTCAACAACAGGGACTGATGGTATGGAGCCCAGTAGCCTAGAGCTGAAACAGGTTTTGTCTTCATCACTGTCTGGGGACCAGTGCACCCACAGCAAGAGCTTGCTGGAAGGATTATAGGAGCTCCAGGAAGGATGAGACGGCTCAGGTAGAAGGTATTTCCCTGAGGTCCAAGAGGCAAGTTCCTGCAGTTAAAGGCACATTATTGGCTGAAAAGATCCCTGGATGTAGAGAAGGAAGGGATCTTCGTTGGTGCCAAAAGCAGTGAAGTTTCCCAGTTGAGATCATCTTGAATCTGGGGCAAGAGCTTTACGCATAAAATCTCTTAAAGTTTCTCATTCTCCGTTGAGTTGGCAACTTGTGTAGTAGGAAAAGTTAGAGTTGGCAATAGTAGGGCAAGGAAGGTTGGAGGCTTGGACCCCAGGAATCTGGACTCACGTGTGGTGGGTTGGCCTCAGGAGGTGAATGAGTTTCCTGCAGTGTTTGGCAGAGGTAGGCCGGGGACTGCTGCCATTGTGCGGTAGCAACTGATTCCCCAGAGAGAGCAAGGCTAATTTCTCACTGGCACCCAGAGACACCAACACCTGTGGAACAGAGAACAGATGACAAAAATGGACATGAGGCTCAGCGACAGCAGTTTCCAAGGTGCAGAGAAATGCCAATCAGCCCAGCATCTCCAATTCCAGGAAAGCAAGGAAAAAGAAAAGGTCTCGGGGACTCACGATGGACTCTGTGCTCGAAGAGATCTACTTTTATTCTCTTTAGTTAAACCATGAAACCAAGGCACTGAGGGACCCATACGCTTGTTCCCAGGCGGAGGGAATGAGTGCAGCAGTAAGAGTAGGACAAGAGGTCTGATTCCCAGTCTTGGATCCAGACCAGTGGGCCCCAACCTCATGACCACCAAAGACCCCTTTCATTACCTACCTCCCCATTGCCAGAAATTCCCATACTATCACCATCCCCCACCAAAAGTTCTAGTCCGCATAGACCACCCAATGCTACTACATTGAGCTAGTATATTTTGGGGTTTTAATCTTATCATAAGTGAATGTGTGATTTCCACTAGGCTATTTAAATACTAAAAATTGAGCAGAAGAGCTAGAATTGAGAAGTAGTTACAAGTATGGGCTCTGTACTCAGATTCCTGATACTAGCTGTGGAACTTGGCAAAGTTAGTAAATTCCTCATGCCTTAGTTTCCTCAAAACGAAGGTAATAAGCTATTAGTAAGTCAGATAATAAGGTAAAATGTTTAGCACGGTGCTGTTCACACAGTAAGTGCTGAAATAGTCTTCACCTTCCTGACCCTCAGAATGAAGCCACTCTACACCTTAGCATTTCCTAGTCTTCCCCAACCTCCCTCCCGCACAGCCTCTAGAATAGATAAACAGCGATCTTTGAGGTCCCAGGCATTTCCCAACCCAAGGAAGTTTTCTTCCACGGTGCTTCCCTTTTCCAGGACAGGAGATGATAAATGGAAAACCCCTAACAGGAATAAAGCTTGGGTTTCTAGATATCACAATTCCTTAAAAACCACCGCGAGAAATTCTGGGACATCCAGGGTCCGATCACCACGGGTTCTGTGTCCGCTGGGGTATACCTGATGAAGGCAGGGCTCCTGCCGAAGGCTCCGGAGGGCAATGAGGGCAGCCTCCTTCACGTTTGGCTGAGGGTCTCCACACGCCATCTCTAGGAGCCGCTGGGGTACTTGGCACTGTAACAGTTCCTCTCCCAGGCCCTCAGGCCCCAAGTTGCCCAGAGCTGATGCAGCATTGCGCCGGATACCAGCCTGAGGATCTCCAAGCAGCTGGGTCATGCTGGGCACAGCAGCTGCCAGGGCAGACCCCAAGGGACCAGCCTGGTAAGCTGCATTGCCCACAGCAAAGCTGGCACTGCGCCGCACAACGGGGTCTTTGTCTCCAAGTCCTAGCAGGAGAAGGTTGAGTAGTCCAGCCTGGCTCTGCAGTGCCCCACGCAGGGCCACACTGTGTTGGAGCAAGTGTCCTAAGAGCCCATAAATGCGGGCCCGCACGGAATTGTCTGGGTGGCCCAGGAGGCTGCGCAGGGGTCGATAGGATTCATCAGAGCCAGCCAGGAGCTCCTGGATAAAAGACAAGGGGTTGGGAGACAGTACCCGGGCAGCATGAGCCAACAGGGAGAGAAGGTCAGAGGTCAGCAGTGGCTGGTCACCCAGAAGAGCATCTGAGAAGAACGAAATGATGGGACCTGGGGAGGCAGTCACTGTATTCACAAACTGGCTGAGAGAGGTCGAATCTGTGAGGGCCAGGCGTGTGAGCAGGCTCATGGGCAGCTCAACTTGTGGCAACAAAAGATGGTGGCAGCAAACCTGGGGAGATGGGGATGCAGGAAAAAGGAATTAAGGGAGAGACATAATACACAGTAGCTCAGTAGCCAGAAGGAGTCCAAAAGCTGCAAGAGAAGAAAAGTCAAGCTGTGGTGAGAAATATCACAGTGAGCTGGAAGACCTGGCCTGCTTTCGCCCTAGTATCCAAACGAGAAACAAGCTGGGGCCCCAAGAGCAGGGTCTTTCCAAGCTCATCCCTTGCTCTGTGAGGACTCAGTCTCTTTGTCTCCCTAAACCTACTGCTTAGTGCCAGGAATTGGCAGAGATGTGATTTCTGGTCACAGAGCTGGTTCTCCAGTACTCTGTTGTTAGGTGTCATCAAGTTGCTTTCAACTCACAGCAACCGTATGTCCAACAGAATGAAGCACGGCCTGGTCCTGTCCTAGACTAGACTAGGGTATCCTGCCCACTGATCTCAACAGAATACAGGTAAGGGGCTGATGGGGGAACGAGGCACCAGCCCCAGCTCTGACCACAGGACTCTGTTCAGGTCTGAATACTTTTCCCACTCCAGCTCCTAGAGCAAGTCAGATGCTCCAACCTTCCAGGGAGCCAAGGAGAGCCCTGGATGTCAGGGGGTGAATGAAAGTACACAGGCCGGGCCTCCCTCCTTTTCATGCATGGAAAGCTTCCCAAGTACCTGTAGCAGATGCACTGCAACTTCTGAGTCCCTGAGGTCAGCCAAGATACCTACAAGGAGGTCAGCGTCCACATCCAGGGCAAAGGGGAAACAGAGGAGCTGGCAGACAGAGAGCACCACCGCAGGAAGCAGCTCAGACCCATGAGGCCTGAGGAGCAGAACATGAAAAGATATACTTGGTCTCGCACTCTTGTGAATCATTTCTAATTCTTATCTCCCTCGTCTCAAATTCCCTTCTCCAGCTCCCCTTGCCCAATCTCAGCAATTCAGGTCTCCAGACTAATCCTGACCCCATTTCTTGCCTCACAGTTCCAACTGCCAGCTCCTTCTCTCCTGCCTTCCCCGCCCCACCCCCAGCGTTTGATTCTCGGGACATTCCATCCACCTTCCTCCAGCTCAAACTCACGCCTGGCCCAGCTGATGGAGGAAGCCTGGGGAAAGCAGGTGCTGCAAGGTGGCCATAAGGACACTTCCACGCTGGGACAGGTGGCTCAGGCATAACTGGGGCTCCTGGGTGAAGGTGACCACAGCCAGGCTCAACAAAGCTGCCATGCCTGGAAACACAGAGGATGGAGAGCCAGTGGAACAGACATGGGCCCAGGTGCTCTTGGTGCCCCATGGCTCCCTTCTGCACCCCTGAGCACTGCCAGTATACACTCCACATCCTCTCCCCAGACTAAGCCACTTCTACACCTGCTGAGGCATCCGTACACTGGCCCCCACCAGGGAGGCCATGCTGTTAGAAAGCTACCTTGGGGTGAGATCAGCGTCCAGTCTGGCTTTGGACTTGAACTTGAGAGCGACAGCTCCTCTTCCTGCAGAGATACCGCCTCAGGTACCCTCAAGGCCATGGAGAAGCGGTGCCACAAAACGGTCCACATTTCCGAACTAGCCACGTCCCTTATCAGACTGGTCTTCCCCTGCTGGAGACGAAATAAGAAGAGAGGAGTCAAAATGTCAATCTTCATTCCTGTCCCTAACCTACAAGAAGAGGGTCCCAGAAATAATTCCTTGTGTTTTCCCACCTAGGCTTTCCCAGTTGCCTTATTTTCCTTTCTTATGATACTTTTACACCCTCGGAAACCCTGTACAGGGTCGCTATGGGTCGGAACCGACTCGATGGCACTTAACAACAACAACGATACTTTTATCCCTTGACCTCTCAACCCACGTGCATGTCTGACAGCTTCTCATCCCACCGAATCCCAAGGGTCCACACTGAGAGCAGGTGGGCCCATCCTATCACAGTAGGTTTGAGAGGACACGTGAAGCTGCATCTTCATTCCCATTGTCCAGTGGCGCCCCCAAATGCCCATTTCCTCTCTCCTTCCTTCCCATCCATCCCAGGGTGGACTTAACCTGAGTAAGGAGCTGTAGCAGCAGGATGAGGAGGCCATCATAGAACCCACAGCCGCCTGGTGGGGTCAGTCGGACCTGTTAGAGACGGACAGGAAGGATGTAACTCTGAGCAAGATGAGGCAGCTTCAAAGGCCTGGGCAGCCAGCTCAGAATCAGGGAGAAAGACCTCACCCTTGGTCTTGGCTCAGGACTTAGGAATCTTGACTCCTGCCTATTCATTCAGTGAATAGCTCTGCCCTAAAGCCACACACAGACTGGTATGGTAAACAGACACAGAAGCATATATCCTTTAGGAAGAGACTTGCTACACTGTCAGGGGGGCACAGTTAAGACTGCGTAACTCTGCCTCTGGAAGGTGAGAAACTGATGGAAGAAAAGTTTAAAGGCAGACAAGAAAGGTGGAGATAGGAAGGAGAACATTCTAAGTAGATGTCATAGCCTCTGTAAAGGCAGATGGATATGAAAAATTGAACTGAACTTCTGAACATAGTCACTCTTTTGGTAGAACAGGATTTTAGAGCCCAGGAGGTAAGCTTGAGGTGGCAGACTACAGAGAGTTTGGACTTTATCACAGAAGCATCTGGAAGCCACTGAGGACTTACACACATCTAGCACATGCGCCACATGGATGTGATACTTTTTCTCTTTTATTTACTGCTGTATCCTCGGAGCCTAGTAGAGTGCCTGGCACTCAATACATATTAACGTGTCCAATACTACTGGTTGAACAAATGACCAGATTTGCTTTTTAGTGCGCTCACTCCGGTGGCATTGGTGAAAAGAATGAACTGGAAAGGAGAAAGCCTACCTCCCCCTTAGTGAGCAAGTGCCAAGGTTCAGGTCAGTGATGATGCCAGGGAGGGAATGGTTTTAAGAAAAAACAGGAAGAATCAAAGAGACTTGGGGGACCACTGTGTGTGTGTGTGTTTATGTGTATGTGTGTGTATGTGTGTGTGTATGTGTGTGTATGTGTGTGTATGTGTATGTGTGTATGTGTATGTGTGTGTATGTGTGTGTATGTGTGTGTATATGTGTGTATGTGTGTGTATGTGTGTATGTGTGTATGTGTGTGTGTATGTGTGTGTATGTGTATGTGTGTGTATGTGTGTATGTGTGTATGTGTATGTGTGTGTATGTGTATGTGTGT